TGCTAGTTGGGGGCTTTTGTTTCATTCGCAGTAAGAGACGTAAGTGAGTAATTACTAAATAATATTAAAAAAAATCTTCATCATAACGGAAATAGATAAACCATACACTTAATAACTTACAAACATAGCCCAAAAACACAGTCCCTGGATTCTAACAATTTCTTCAATAGTAGGTCCTGCAAGTTACCCGTACTTATGTCTTCACTACTACATAACACTTTCTTTATGTTTTTCAACTAGATTTAAAAAGAATAAGAAAGTAAAACTAATGAAATGAATTTGATAAGCAAAAATAAATAGTTGAACAATAACTCTGATACAGAAGGTACAGTCAGCTGATGAGTCACGAAAAGGACGAAACGCATATGAAGTTGGTTTTTACTATAAACCGCGATTCACCTTTACTTATAATTCTTGTGAATAAAGGCAATAGCGAAGCAAACCTTACAGTATGAACATATATCAATAAGAGATAAACTGATCTATTATAGTCCTAAACAACAATAGGAAGATATATGTGTTAATAATACCAAATGCCGCCAGGTTAATTAATCTTTCTATTCAATCAATGTTATTCACTTACATTTCATTGTAACGACCAAACTCTTCCTGAATAATAACACTTTTGAATAAGGGTAACAATACTACTTATAATAATAGTAATATGATTAACAGTAGTGTTTCGATTAGTATTGAAACTGTATAGATAATAGAGAATGAATGTTGATTTACAATTAGAATTTGCTTTGTTTATATAAAACGAGATATAATGATCTTTGCACTGTAAAACAATTAACAGATAAGGTGAATTCTTTGAAAGATAAGATTAGTATTTAACAGATAATCAGGGTATAGATATTGTTGAGAAATAATTCAACAAATACTGATATGTACACACATGAATGTACAAAGTTAATGGTTGTAATATGATTGACACAATGACGAAATACCTTATCTTGTATCAATGGTGGTTCGGTTAACACTGAGTGATGATGCAATCAGATGAATGGTCTTGAAAATTGCAGACATTATATAAATTACTTACTTACTTAAGCCTGTTAGCCCTTGTGGAGGAGAACGGGCCACCCATCAGTTCTGGTTAGCGATTCTTCAACGAGTCAGTTTTCTACTGAATGGCATGGGCCTAAAGCCGGCTGTAACACTATAAGTGCCACAGGTGGAGTTTTACATCACATAAACTAAACTATAAACCACGAAAGGAATTCTTTGACACAATATAGAGAAGAAAAACAAAATAAAATGTTTGATTGTGTTGAAAATTACCCATAATGGAATTCACAGTGATCAGGATGTTTATCTCCTTCTTCCCTTAATATATGATGTTACAAATATATAAATGGTTTATATTAATTGAGTAGTGACCACTGTCGTGTTTGTCTAATCTGTTGAATGCTGATCAAAGCTTACCGATTAACTATTAGTTCACCTACTAGTCTAAGCAACTTGATGTCGAGTGGATTATTTATATTATAAGTTTATTGGAAGAGATTGGCAAGAAATTCTGGACTCAAGCTAGTTGACACTTGTTAACAAGGAGTACTTGGAATGTTCATCTATAGAATCCGTTCATCACTGAGAAATAGTCAACTTAGGCAGTCGTCACCATTTGATGATCAATCATGAAGTATTTCACTTCAATTAGTAGTTAATCCTTTCTAGAATATTTTATAGTAATGCCGCAAACGTTGTAACTGGATAAAGCTGGTTCAAACCCATTAGAGATTGCTAGTGTGCTAAGATCACAAAAACCCTCTCGACCTCACCACAGCTTCAATATTATTTCTGTGCTCGACTTGTGTACTTGATACAACGATTGATATTTTGTCATAAATATTTGCCGAAAAGTCATCCTTGTTCAATATTCGTTATCAATGTCTCAAGATAACAAATGCAGCTGATGATGACTGGGTGAAGCATGCCGGTTTAGTGCACCGCGAGTGTGAGCGCTTCAAACTATCAACAATGGCAGAAGATTAGTTAAGGTGTCTCGTATTTGCACGCAGTTTACAATCTTCTGAAGATGCTGATATGAGAACCACAGTTTTTAGCAGAATTGAACAGTGTCCGAATATAACATGACAGGAAGTATTTCAGGGTGCCAAACAGTGGTAAACTTGAAACACGATACTTCCATGGTTGAAAATAATAGCCGGTTGCCACACGTTCATACTGTATGCGAAACAAAAGATTTCTGCCCAAGAAAAGTATTCATTACAGACAACCAGCCCCTATCTCCATGTTGGTCACTTGGAGGTTGGCACTCTTAGACGTTCTGCCCGTATAAAGAACACTCTTGCAGAAAATGTCATAGTATGAGGCACAAAGAATCAAACAGCAGAAGAATCCATCAACGACATTCTTAGAAATTATACTTCGAGAAATACAGATATGGTGCATTAACTAACAAAAGATTGATATCATATAACCGTGCACGAATTTACCGCTGAAGAAAGTATGTAACCTTGGATACTAATAAACAGCGTGCTCGTCTTCAGCTTGACACAGCATTTACTATTACATTAATCAGACCAGAAACGCGCAGGAAGATTGGACGACACACAGTGCATCCAAAAACACAATTACAGTACAGTGCATCTGGTGGGAAGTTAAATATTTTCGAAGAAGTACCATGCATTGTTTCTGAAGGTGATGTAACGACAAACGCAACAATAATAAACCCCTGTGCGCGGATTGAATAATTAAAAACTATAAACACCTGACAATTTTGTACCATAATTGACACTGTTTGGAATAACATTCCTTCTACTTTTCTTCTGTCTTCTGATTTTACGACTTTGGAGGGTTCTCGCGTTCCAGTATTCAAGTATTACGCGACTTTCCAAGAATCCGAGTTCAAGATATAACAGCTAATTTCTTCAAGAATGTAAAATACATTATGTTGATGAGTGCCGCTGTTCAGAATATCGATGAAAACATCGTAACTGAATCATCTACATCTGGCAATACGAAACTGCACCCGAAAACAGCTAGTACGAATTCAAATTTAGGCAAATTTTCCTACAATTCACCTGTAAAGCGATCACAAGTTGAAATTCACCAGCAACCAGTATAATTAAGAGAAATTATATGGACTATGTTCAACATTGTATTGTTTGATTATAGAGTTGTAACTAATATTATGTTACATCCCCATTAGTGCTTATCGAATCGCATTGACTAACGTGTAATATGACCATTAATTTTAAAATCACGAAATATTAGGATGATTGGAAGCAATCAACAGGAAGTCTCGACTATTGGATCTGTGAAAGTATGTTTTCGTCACCGATCTAAATGTCCTCCATTGTATCCTCGAGTTGCATTCTTCAGGCTGCATACGAACACATGATACTTAAACAAACTTTCATTCATTCTTGAACATTTGAAATGCTCACGTCCACGGTTTACTGGACTTTCATGTTTTTCCCAGTCATCATCACTGGCTCATGTTATGTTGAGGCACTAATAGTGAACATTGAACAGGGATGACATTTCACTATAGATATGAGACAGGAAATCAGTTTTTGCATCAAAATCAAAATCCCTTGGGTTCTTCGGAGAAATAAAATTACTGTGACATATTTGTTCAACCGTGACAATGTAATACCAGACCAACAGTCGAAATGAAATTTATCAATAGAATTGATGATGGAATCGGTATGTGATTTACGTGATTGTTTAGTATTCCCTTAGTGGTTAAGAGTTGTTTGCTTCGTTTGAGTTTCTAGGATACGAATTCGGAAATGATCATGCCGTTTATGCTGATGTTCAAGCAAAGATTCTTCTTGTTCAAGAGTTATTGGCATTGTAAATGGTACACTCTGTTGCCAGTGTTAAGTACTCTACTTGATTATGGGATGATACGGGATACGACATCGGCACTTGAATGCGTAGAACCCACAGTCGCAAATGGAAGAGGTAGAAGAAAGCAGGAGAAGCGTTTGTTGAGGTGACAATCAAAATGTGCATAAAACAGGTGCATTTATAGTTTTTTGATATAGGCTATAATACCATTATAATCCGGCAAATCCGCAATTAGGAAGCAGAAAGTTTATATAATTGTCCAATCAAAGCACGCTACGATGATGTTCCAGAAAATTGTATCGTGTTATGTTTGAATGGAATCTTTTAAGACACTTTGCAGACTTCTGAGGTCCGCGCAACAGTTTCACAATTCATTTCGTGCTCACTCAACCACTTTTGTAGTGTGAATGGAAGAACGCATCTACGCTCTCCACCCTCTCGTCCCCAATCGAACTGACAGAGAGAACGCCTTGTCGACACTTTTAGAAGAGCAATACAAAATGATGGGACAAATATTCAGGTAATCACGAAATTCTTAGCATCTCATCCTATTGAATTATCTGTTACAAACAGATTATACGTGCTGGTTATATACACAATTGCCTGTTTTGGCTAAGACATTGTGTATGAAAGAATGGGGATTTATCTTAGACATTCATCTCTAAATAATTTTTTACCACCTACTAAACCCACTGAGATCAAAAGAAAAAGTAGGTGTTTGTTTGAAGGAGAAATGTAAATCAATGTAACTATATAACAGCTGTAGACTGCTCATTATACCTAACTGAAAAATATTGAATAATTAAGACATATAGAAGTGGTACAGTGTTCTGTCAAGTTTTAATATTTCAAGTTCTAATACGGGCAAAATTGCTGAATGTGAAAAACCTGGTGTCAGAAGGTGAACAAGATCGAAGAAAAGAGAACGAGAACAGAGAGTGATTGGTGTGAAAATGGGGGAACAATGAAGTCTGAGGTGATTAACTGATATTTCGCAAATGTGTTATTTACTATATGGTTCGCAGATTCAACTACGTTATTCTGTAATTTTGTACTCTAATACAATTGACTGTTACCACTTGTGTTCTCCTTCACTATAATACAACCGGTTCTTCCGTGTATATCAATAACGAGAACTAGCATATAACACCATAACACAGAGAGAAGACAAATTATGAGAAAACTTTAAATTCATGATAGAACAAGCAGAATGTAACGTAGCAGTTCAACTTCGTATATGTAACAATAGAATCATCACCTACAGATGTATAGGAAAAATTCATTTAATGAATAAAGTAGGAAGAAAATGATTTTGGTTACAATTTTTAGTATGGCAAATTAAAAGTAAATGATCTTGTGATCTCAATAACGGTTTCACAGAACAAATGATAACAGTCATGGACAACCACTAATGAATGTCTATAGACAAGTACATATCTATTTTTTCCTCTGAAATATATTGGCTTGCATTCTTGGATACATGTTGAATAAGTGTTATTTCACTTGAAATGATCATATTCATCCAAATCATTATTGTTGCAAGAACTAATCCACACAGAAAATATTGATCATCTCGAAAACCGAATCGTTTATCACCTGGAAAAATTGCTTGAGTTGCAATTGCCAATTCCTGAAATCAATGTACATATTGATCAGTATCATGCTTTTACTTCAATCATTTAAAACCATGTGTATAACTATCGTTCAACATATGTATGTTACTGTCAATTCCAATAATGGCTATGACTAAACACAAAATATTATAATCAGAAGGGTGGTTTATGGAGATTTTAGTAATTTAATGGTTGAAATTATTTTAAAGTTAGAAACCCTGCATGCATTGGATTGATAGGACTTGGATTCGAATCCCGTGGGTGAGATCGTGAATGTGCACAGCCAAGGAGTTTGTGATATTCGAATGACCCAATGATTTATTTGTATTGATGAGTGTTGTGATTTTGAATTCCAAATACAATACATTCGTTTTGCTCATCTAATACTTCTTGATTAAATGGCGTAATTCTTGGGATTACTAGTTTATATTACAATTCAAATACTCCTGATTATCTTATTGGCGTCACGATTGAGCGTGTGATGAAACGGTTTGATATACATTCAGGTTTTAATGTTTTTGAGAAGTACATGTATCGAAGTACATGATTCGAAATCTGGGCTATGTCTAGGGAAGATACAGAACAAGTATTTGGGTTATACTTCTGAATTACTTACATAGATGATTGTCAGTAGCATTCCAAATCCAGAAATAATCAAGATCACCTATTGAATAACAATAATAATAATAATAATAGTAATACGAATTAGTTTTATAATACAAATACAAGTTTATTTGGATGAATGAGTGTAGATTTAGTTTTACTATTCCGTAACAATCAGAATCATCAGTCTTCTCTCGATACCTGGAAAAGTCTTCAACAGGATGTTGTTAAACAGAGTGAAGGACTCTGTAGACGTTCAACTTCGAGATCAACAGGATGGATTCCGTAAGGATCGGTCATGTACACACCAAATCACAACTGTACGGATCATTGTAGAACAATCAATTGAATGGAATTTATCACTCTACATCAACTTCATTGACTACGAGAAAGTATTTGATAGCGTGGAGAAAACAATAGTACAGAGGCTTCTTCGACACTACGACGTGCCTGAGAAGACAGTCAAATATCATACGGGATTCCTATTATGAATTAAACTGAGAATTTTTGCATGGAGGACAGCTGACATACTCGTTCGAGGTAAAAGCCGGTGTCATGCAACGTTGTTCACTCTCACCTCTTCTCCTTCTTCTGGTGGTTGATTGAATTGTGAAGACGCCAACATCTGGGGGAAAGCATGGGACATAGCGGACGACTAGGATGAAGTTGAACGATCTGGACCTCACAGAAAATCCGGCTCATCCATTACACATGCAAAAACATATGCAGTAGAGAACGACCAGTGTGGCAGCAGCCTCAGCAACAGTAGGCCTCAACATACACGAAGGGTAAAGCAAGGTTCTCCAATACAATACAGTATGCATCAATCGAATTACACTTGACGGAGAAGCTTTGGAGGATTTGAGAACCTTTACATATCTGAGCAATATTAATGATGAACACAATGAATCTTATGCAGATGTGAAGACGCCGATCGACAAATCGAGAGCAGCATATTAACGACTGAAGAATATCTGGAACTCAAAACAATTGTCAACCAACTCCAAAGTCAAAAGTTTCAATAAAAAACTCATGACAGTTGTACTATATGAGGCGGTAACCTGGAGAACAACGAAAGCCATCATCCAAAAGATACAGATGTTTATTAACAGTTGTCTACGCGAAATACTTCGGATCCGTTGACCAGACATTATCAGCAACAATCTACTGTGAGAGAGAACAAACCAGATTCCATTGGAGGAGGAAATCAGGGAGAAGTGCTAGAAGTGGATAGGACACACATTGAGGAAATCATACAACTGCGTCACAAGGCAAGCTTTCACATGGAACCCTGAGATTCAACTTAGAAGTGGATGACCAAAGAACACATTACTGTGATAAATGGAGACAGACATGGGAAGAATGAACAACAATTGGAAAGAACTAGAAAGGAAGGCACGGGACAGAGTGTTGCTGAGAATGGTAGGTGGCAAACTACGATTCTTTGGGAGTAACAGGAGTAAGTAAGTAAAATAAATTCAGTGACAATTAACATTACTGACTAACATTAACTGAATAATCACTGCAAATATGAGAGCATCTAACTAGTGATCTGGGAAACCAGTTAATAACTTTATGTGTTGATATGGTGTTTCTTCATTTAGTCAACTTTAATTGTAATGATTCTATCGCTTCAAAATCAGTTGCATTTACAAACAGAAATTGGTGGTAGCTAGAAAATATCATGAGGATGTTCGTGTATTCAGAACGGCTAGCTTACCAATAAACAATTGTGAGGGGATGACATTAATGTTTGTTATGAATAGGAAAAAAAGAAATGAACATAAAACTACTGAGTGTAAAGTCTTTAACATCTAATTGTTAGATATCAAACTCCATAAGACAATATCCTACTTATTTATCCACAGTAAGTTAAAGTTTTTTGGGCGGCCTGCTTAAACATCTGGGCTACCTGTTTCCCGTCATCTATATATTTCAACAAGTTATCTAATATTGTTTGATTTAATACATAATTATGGCTATTAAGCACACAACCTATTACGATGCGTTTCTGAAAACTGTACAACGTTTCGCTGAAAAAGGTACAAGAGGCCTAATCAGAGATGTCGTGTTTTCTGGGAACATGCAGCAAAAAGAATATACATTATTCATATGTCGATTGACTGAACTACTGACATACAACTGGCGATCACTGAATGTTTATCATCAGGAGCAACGAAGAAATAAGAAACGTAAACATGTTGAAATACTTTATGCTGAGAATTCGATTTTGTTTCAAATAATATAATATTGAACAATAATAATAATAATAATCAAATACCGACAAAGGTTTTTTAAACTATATAATTATGCAGATGTGAAGACGCGGATCGGCAAAACAAGAGTAGCATCATTACGAAGGAAGAACATCTGGAATTCAAAGCATTTGTCCGTCTACCAACATCAAGATCAGAATTTTCAATACAAACATCAAGACAGTTCTACTGTACGGGGCAGAAACCTGGATAACAAACTCCATAAGACAATATCCTACTGATTTATCCACAGTAAGTTAAATACCAACTAAGATTCCTTAAACTATACAATTATGCAATAAGCAAAATCTCACTTACATCATAGCATTCAAAATGATTTAATACAATGAGAACGATATAAACTACTGCTTGTAAAGTGAATACAACAGTGAAGAATATATTGAAAGATCTTTGTATATCGAATCGTTTTAATCCGCCGAATAATAAAGTCAGTAACGTGATTCCCAATGTAATAATCCAACTACTTGGAAACCACACAATGTTCAATTCAGAAAGTGACCTTGAAGCTGGGATCGAAATAATCATCGACTATCAAATAAAAATAAAGAAATGAAATGAGAATCGACGTGACAGATCATCTGTCTTCTAAATAATAATTAATTATTTCATAGTTGAAAGCGTGAGTCAATTGAAGCTAGACCACCATGAAAAACATGGAAACACTGGACGGCCGTTTTGTTCCAGGTTTTCCATGGTGGTCTAGCTTCAATTGACTCACGCTTTCAACTATGAAAAATACTAAATCTTCACAAAACCCCTTCTGATAAATAATTATTTTACTAAATGTAACAAATTTGTAGTAATATTTGACAGAATGGTGTAAATCATGAAGGTAGATGGTCTCTGTCGAATAATTCAGTGCCTGCTCGAGTTGGACGGGAATTGTGTGACGAATCAGTTAACATCGAAGACACGCCTTACAGTCACCAAATGCCCTGGCATAGCTGAAAGTAGAGAGAGTCCACTCTTGCTGTCGAAATGCTCTCATATGGTCACGCGTATATAACCTCTGCAAGGGAAGTCCCACTCACTGCCTTCTCGTTAAGGGGGTGTTCTCTACGACGGGAGTTGGAGTATCCTGATTCCGAACCAATGGTGCACATGGGCTGGATCCAGCATTCTGGGGGAACAAATGGCGTACGAATCAATCGTTAGCCACCGGCTACTATGGTACTACATTTCCTTACGATGCTCCACTGCCTTGTGTATCAGATCTTAAGGTCAAAGTCAGCGGATGTGGCCTCTAAGGTAACCACCTTTATCGATTTGGTCACCTGAGCAGTATCACAGCCCTCACACAAATCAAATGAGATTTGTGTGGCGCATATATATCTTCTACCCCTTTGTACCAATATTTATGTGTTCAAATAAATAAATAAATGCGGATCGCCCATCCGACCATAGAACACTAAAGACGTTATTATATTATAACATATAATGGTGATTGCCATCAATGTTCTCAAGTATCATTCTTAGCTACTTACATTGAATACCAATAGTATGTAGTTCCATGGAAATTTGAATTGTAGTTGTGGTACGAGAGCCATCTCCAAGTCAATATTGAGTCCTAAAAAGCTGTAATAAAACAAAGCAAATACAGATTGAAATACACTAATGTGAAAAAGTAAAACGATAAGCAGCATAAAGTTCAGAATGATGCAAAAATAATGATTGATATTTTAAAGATGGAACGATATTTTGATAGATATGGATAAATCATGCACAGAATGTGATTGTTATCCATTGAATGAGATGGATAATGGTTATCTTATATTACGGATTCACCAGTCTCAAACGTGAACAACCTGATTTTGACTAAATTGTGTTAGGGTGAATTGATGACTATGAAACAGGTGTTACAATTTGATCGTGTTATATCCTTTCACTAAGCCGACCTTAACAATGGTAAATTTGAAATCCCAGTCTTGCAGGAATACACCAGGTGTTAAGTTCGCTTATACTTTCTGTTCTTCTTCTTTTATAATTTTATTTGTACTTTATGTGTTGTTTCATGCTACTTATTAATATTCAGTAAACAGTTCTGCATCAATGGGAAGATTCAAACAAACAATAGTAAATGAATTTAAACTTCACCCCATTGCACAAGCAAGTGGCTATCAGGACTCAGTGGTCGAGTGGATAACGCGATGGCGTTCGAAGTGAAAGGTACTGGGTTCAAGTCCCAGAGTGAACATGAACTCTGAGTAGCAGGTACATCCGGCTAGCGAGTCCCAAATAGGACGAAACATGTGTCATGGATTCCACTGCTAGTCACTATCCACCTTTGCTTGCCGACTCTATTTCTGATAATTTCGAAGAGCATGATGTAATGCAAGTTCATTTCTAGTGTCATATATAGAAGTATTTACACACACTTATGACATTTACTGCATTTATTATCATAAGCGGCTTCTCCCAATCCTATCCCAGTTCTGTGTATCTTTTAAGTCTTTTTTAAACATAACAGATATACCATACAATTGAAAACTTACAAACATATCCCAACAAACGAATTCGCAGTTCCTAACCATTCCTTCAATGTACGACTTATTATAAATAGAATCAGATGATTCCAAATGAATCAAATGAACTTACATTAATATAAAAGGAAGATTCATTCCCAATATGATTAATAGTTGTAGCAAAGCTATAGCACTTGCCTTAGAATTTCAGTATCATTCATTATTGTTGTTTTGTTTTAATGAATTACCTTCATAGAAAAATCACCACTGGTTACTTGTTGATTTGTTTCTATTCTAATCTAGATATTCATATTATGATGTAATTGAATACATAAACAAACAAATTAATAACCTACTTGGTTACTATTCAATTCTGTTGAATAACTTTCTTTATGTTTTTCAACTAGATTTAAAAAGAATAAAAATATTCTTTAATAAATATGAAAGTAAAAGTAATGAAATGAATTTAATAGGCAGGGATGGATAGTTGTACATTAACCTCGAGATGCGAGGACATCCGGCTGATGAGTCACAAATAAAACGAAACGCACATCAAATTGAATTTTACTACTAATCACTATCAATCCTTACTTATAATTCTTGTGAATTAAGGCAATAGCGAAGCAAACCTTACAGTATGAACATATATCAATAAGAGATAAACTGATCTATTATAGTCCTAAACAACAATAGGAAGATATATGTGTTAATAATACCAAATGCCGCCAGGTTAATTAATCTTTCTATTCAATCAATATTATTCACTTACATTTCATTGTAACGACCAAACTCTTCCTGAATAATAACACTTTTGAATAAGGGTAACAATACTACTTATAATAATAGTAATATGATTAACAGTAGTGTTTCGATTAGTATTGAAACTGTATAGATAATAGAGAATGAATGTTGATTTACAATTAGAATTTGCTTTGTTTATATAAAACGAGATATAATGATCTTTGCACTGTAAAACAATTAACAGATAAGGTGAATTCTTTGAAAGATAAGATTAGTATTTAACAGATAATCAGGGTATAGATATTGTTGAGAAATAATTCAACAAATACTGATATGTACACACATGAATGTACAAAGTTAATGGTTGTAATATGATTGACACAATGACGAAATACCTTATCTTGTATCAATGGTGGTTCGGTTAACACTGAGTGATGATGCAATCAGATGAATGGTCTTGAAAATTGCAGACATTATATAAATTACTTACTTACTTAAGCCTGTTAGCCCTTGTGGAGGAGAACGGGCCACCCATCAGTTCTGGTTAGCGATTCTTCAACGACTTAGTTTTCTACATGATGGGCTCGCTAACCCCATGCACAACCCCCCATATTTACTCGAGCTAGGGACCAGCAGTAAATCTATAAGAGCAACATGCAGAGTTATACATCATATCATCTAAACTATAATCCACGAGCGGATTCCTTGACACAATAGAGAGAAGAAATGTTGAAATAGAATAAGAGGAGATGAAGGAAAGATAAACTGAAGATGTTTCAACAAGAACTAGCGTGAAATAGCAAGGAAGATTAGAAGGGATGAAACTAACCCTCATTAAGAGATATTACTGTTGAAAACACAGGGAATACAATGGAAAACATATGAAAGATAATGGAAGAGTTAATTTTCGAATATGTGACAATTTCTATTAAGTTTGTTTAATTCAATTAGATTGATAATGCATAGAAGACACAGTGTGTGATTGTGTTGAAAATTACCCAGAATGGGATTCACAGTGATTATGGTACTTATTCCATTCTTCAATGTGTGTTCTATCCACTTCCAGCACTTCTCCCTGATTTATTCCCTCACCGCAATCTGGTTTGTTCTCTCCCACAGTAGATTGTTGCTGATAGCGTCTCTTCAACGGATCCGAAGTATTTCGCGTAGACAACTGTTAATGAACATCTGTATCTTCTGGATGATGTCTTTCGTTAATCTCTAGGTTTCCGTCCCATACTGTAGAACTGTCCTGATGTTTGTATTGAAAATTCTGATTCTGGTGTTGGTTGACAGATAACTGTTTTGAGTTCTAGTTCTTCAGTTGTAAATATGCTACTCGCGATTTGCCGATCTGCGCGTTCACATCTGCATCATATCCATCGTGTTCATCAATGACGCTGTCCAGATATGTAAAGGTTTTGAAATTCTCCAAACCCCCTCCATCAAAAGTGATTTGATTGGTGTATGCTGTTGCATCGGAGAGTCTTCTTTTTCTCTTCGTGTATGCTGAGGGCAACTGCCGATGATGCTGATGCTACAGTGGTCCTTCTCTCCTGCGTATGTTGTTGCGTGTGTGATAGATGAACCAGATTTTCTGTGAGGTCCAGATCGTTCAACTACATCCTAGCCGTTCACTATGTCCCATGCTTTCCCCCAGATGTTGACTTCTTCACAATTCAATCAACCACCGGGAGAAGGAGGAGAGGTGAGAGTGAGCAACGTTGCATGACAACGGCCTTGAGCTCGAACTAGTCTATCAGCTGACCTCCATGCACGAATTTTCAGTTTAATCAATCGTAGGAATTCCGTATGATGTTGACTCTCTTCTCAGGCACATCGTAGTGTCGAAGAAGCCTCCTTGGTATTGTCCTGTCCACGCTATCGAATGCACTCTCGCAGTTAATGAAGTTAATGTAGAGTGATAAATTCCATTCAATTGATTGTTCTACAATGATCCGTACAGTTGCTATTTGGTGTGTACACGATCGATCTTTACGAAATCCATCCTGTTGATCTCGAAGTTGAACATCTACACTCTGTTTAACATCATCCTGTTTAAAACGTCTGCTAGTACCGAGTGAAGAGTGATGCCTCTGATTGTTACTACAACAAAAATTACACATATTAATCCAGATAAATTTCAAATGGTATAATAAAAATAATAATAGATATTACTATTATTAACACTAATATTGAATGGGTTTTCTTGAAAAATAACATGATAAACGCTTACATAAACTGTAATAGTTTGTTCTAGTATGCGACTCCTTGTCAGCGTGCAACGACGATCTCGCACACAAAATTTGAACCCGAGACATATGGATACAATACTTCCACAGTTTCTACCTTTGAAATGAATTCAATCATTAAATTACTGAAATCTCCATAAACCACCCTTCTGATTATAATATTTTGTGTTTAGTCATAACCGTTATTGGAATTGACAGTAACATACATATGTTGAACGATAGTTATACACATGGTTTTAAATGATTGAAGTAAAAGCATGATACTGATCAATATGTACATTGATTTCAGGAATTGGCAATTGCAACTCAAGCAATTTTTCCAGGTGATAAACGATTCGGTTTTCGAGATGATCAATATTTTCTGTGTGGATTAGTTCTTGCAACAATAATGATTTGGATGAATATGATCATTTCAAGTGAAATAACACTTATTCAACATGTATCCAAGAACGCAAGCCAATATATTTCAGAGGAACAAATATATATGTACTTGTCTATAGACATTCATTAGTGGTTGTCCATGACTGTTATCATTTGTTCTGTGAAACCGTTAATGAGATCACAAGATCATTCACATTTAATTTGCGACGCTAAAAATAGAATTCGTTCATCACTGAGAAATAGTCAACTTAGGCAGTCGTCACCATTTGATGATCAATCATGAAGTATTTCACTTCAATTAGTAGTTAATCCTTTCTAGAATATTTTATAGTAATGCCGCAAACGTTGTAACTGGATAAAGCTGGTTCAAACCCACTAGAGATTGCTAGTGTGATAAGATCACGAAAAAACCCTCTCGACCTCACCACAGCTTCAATATTTTTTTCTGTGCCCGGGTTGTGTATATCTAACATATTTATTAATGATGTGTGCCTACAATACTCATACCACTGAACGGCCAAATTTTCAGTGACATCTGCGATTATTGCAGCCAATTTTACTGTCGATTTTATTATACAGTTGACGGCAATTATTATAATATGCCTTAGTCTCAATCTGTATGTAGCGATAAAGGTTACTATTCTAACAAACGTCTTCCTACATCGAAGGATATCACGGTAGTCTGCATAAGGTCTACAAGTCATTTGATCAGTGCAACTTCAAATAAAAGAACTTTTCAGAAATCTCACTTATTAAAGCCGCTTAATTATCAAGTATTCTTTAAAATACTCTGTGAACCGATCGTACATGAGAATCAGGTACTGAAATTGGCGCCGTGACTTTGAAATCCCTCAGACTCTTCTGATTGGCTTGTCCATAAATTATAGTCACGCCGATTTTTCTTTTGAAGAAACGATTGATATTTAGTCGCCGGCCTAAAGCCGGCTGTAACACTATAAGTGCCACAGGTGGAGTTTTACATCACATAAACTAAACTATAAACCACGAAAGGAATTCTTTGACACAATATAGAGAAGAAAAACAAAATAAAATGTTTGATTGTGTTGAAAATTACCCATAATGGAATTCACAGTGATCAGGATGTTTATCTCCTTCTTCCCTTAATATATGATGTTACAAATATATAAATGGTTTATATTAATTGAGTAGTGACCACTGTCGTGTTTGTCTAATCTGTTGAATGCTGATCAAAGCTTACCGATTAACTATTAGTTCACCTACTAGTCTAAGCAACTTGATGTCGAGTGGATTATTTATATTATAAGTTTATTGGAAGAGATTGGCAAGAAATTCTGGACTCAAGCTAGTTGACACTTGTTAACAAGGAGTACTTGGAATGTTCATCTATAGAATCCGTTCATCACTGAGAAATAGTCAACTTAGGCAGTCGTCACCATTTGATGATCAATCATGAAGTATTTCACTTCAATTAGTAGTTAATCCTTTCTAGAATATTTTATAGTAATGCCGCAAACGTTGTAACTGGATAAAGCTGGTTCAAACCCATTAGAGATTGCTAGTGTGCTAAGATCACAAAAACCCTCTCGACCTCACCACAGCTTCAATATTATTTCTGTGCTCGACTTGTGTACTTGATACAACGATTGATATTTTGTCATAAATATTTGCCGAAAAGTCATCCTTGTTCAATATTCGTTAACAGTGTCTCATGATAACAAATGCAGCTGATGATGACTGGGTGAAGCATGCCGGTTTATTACACCGTGAGTGTAAGCGCTTCAAACTAACAACAGTGACAGCAGATCAGTTCAAGTGTCTCGTATTTGTATGCAGCTTACAATCTTCTGAAGATGCTGATATGAGAACCACAGTTTTTAGCAGAATTGAATATAACATGACAGGAAGTATTTCAGGGTGCCAAACAGTGGTAAACTTGAAACATGATACTTCCATGGTTGAAAATAATAGCCGGTTGCCACACGTTCATACTGTATGCGAAACAAAAGATTTCTGCCCAAGAAATTTTCTTGCTATTCACCTGTAGAGCGATGACAGGATGAAATTCACAACTAACCAGTAGATTTGACGAAATTATATGGACTATGTTTAACATTGTATCGTTTGTTTCTAGAGTTGTGACTAATGTTATGTTACATCCCCATTAGTGCTAATCGAATCGCATTGACTAACGTGTAATATGACCATGAATTTTAAAACCACGAAATATTAGGATGATTGGAAGCAATCAACAGGAAGTCTGGACTATCGGATCTGTGAAAGTATGTTTTCGTCACCGATCTAAATGTCCTCCATTGTATCCTCGAGTTGCATTCTTCAGGCTGCATACGAACACATGATACTTAAACAAACTTTCATTCATTCGTGAACATTTGAAATGCTCACGTCCACGGTTTACTGGACTTTCATGTTTTTCCCAATCATCATCACTGGCTCATGTTATGTTGAGGCACTAATAGTGAACATTCAACAGAGATGACATTTCACTATAGATATGAGACAGGAAATCAGTTTTTGCACCAAAAGAAAAATCCTTTTGGT